AATTACATTATTGCCCACTCTAGCGAAAGAGGACGATAACATTGTAAAAGTCAGAATTAAGTCGTCTCTAGATTATCAGAAAAGTATTGTTGTTTACGCGAGAAAATAAGGAAATATACTTATGTGGATTGATGGAACTCCATTACAGTTTTCTGTGAAACTTTTTAAAGTATAGATTTTAGTCCGTTATCTGAGATATCTTTCAATGATAATTCTAGATTAGACTACAAAATCAAATTTACTTGTTTTTGCAAAGCCGCCTTCAAGCTGCAGACAGCATTTATTCAAAGTGTGTATGAGAGGAACAAGACACGGTCATAAATATGTGAATAGGAGTGGAGTTAACTGATCAAGCGTGCTTCTTTCCCTTTCTACCCGTACTTTTGTGAGCAGGAGAATTATATTTATTCCAGTCGACCATTTTACTTAGTGATCAACTCCTATGCAATAAACACTGTTTTATAAATCAGATTTACTGTTCGATTTTACTATATGCATAAACTGCTCAACAAAATGAACGTTACACAACCAAAGACAACAAAATTGCTAACTGTTTCAAGCAATTTTGTTTCTGTTTGAAGCCTTATTTAGCCCAATTTCGTTTTTCTTCCTTAATGTTTTGGTAAAAGTTAAGCATCTTAGCTACATTTTTTACAGGGTGGCAAATGAAAAAATGTAAAATTGCCGAAAGTTCGGCATATTCCCAGTTGAAGAAATTTGTTTTTTCTTGTCATCAACGCCAAGAATATAAATATAAACCAAATAGCTCAAAACAGTTTTTGAATTTTTCTGCCATCTCTTCGATTTACAGAGTGGTCTTAAAAAATCAACTGTTTGGTCCTGCAGCGGTAATTTTTCTGCAGTTTGATCGGTTTTCACGATCTTGAGCTCATGTTGAAACTAAAACTTGATAGACGATCCAAGACGAAAATTGGATATGCAGGGTTGTATAAAATTGACTCAAATTAGAATTGCCCCCGAAATCTGTGATTCAGCAGACGTTCAACTAAAGTGAAGTTTACTTTCAAATTTGCTGTTAATTCGTACAGCCCGGTATCTTGAGTTTTTTTCACAACAAATTAAACTTCAACATGAGCCCTGAAATTTGAAAATTGGCTCAAGACGGAAAAGGTCTCACCGCAAGTCCAAAGTTCATTTTTTTAAGAGCAATCTGAGATGGTCAAAAAATTCAAAATCTTTCTTCGAGATATACAATGTAATTTAATGCCTGTGGTGTTGAAATTTAAAAAAAAACTTTCTTTTTTCTAACTGAGAGCATGTGGAACTTTGCACTCTTTCATTGGCCACTCCGTAGAAACTTTATCTGAACCATTAATTTCTTGCAAAAACACGCACTAACCGAAAAAGAGTTGGACTAAATAACGCTTCAAATTCAATTTGAATTAAAATATCAATGTTTATCAAAAGAAATATTTTATTTTATGATACTACGTATCTGACTAAAAAGTCACTTTTGAAAAAAACAACAGATATAAAAATATCGCTTGTTAAAATATTGTATTGTTGGAAGACTACTTTTATAGGGAATTACACTGTCTTTATGTCTGAATAGTTGGTCGATTCGAAACTTTGTACACATTTGCCCAGGAAAATATTCCGCAAACTGAAAAACAGCCAAAGAATAAATTTCCTTAAGATGAGATTTTCGGAGAAATTAATATTTTATTATTTAGTGTAAAGTTAATGTAACTTTACACTCGTTCTCGGATTTTCCTAGCATCTTCTAAGCAATGTCCTTTTAAAATGGTTTCAAATATTCCAAATCGAATTAAGCATTTGAACAAAACCTGTTATGTAGCCATTTTATACATAGAAAGATAGATAGAAAAAATACTGATAAGATCAATTCAGTGCACATCTGTTCGGCTTGTGTTACGCAAAACGTAAATAAAATTGCTAAACAATTTCTATATAACCTGAATTACATAATGTACATAACATGGTACAGGTATCGATTTTTCGAAGTTCATTTTAAGGCAGTAAATTCCGAAGTGCATGTTCGGAAATGCTTTGAGATATTACTCTGGATAAGGAGAAGAACAGGGCCATGACCGTGTTACGCCTGAAGCTTTAAGCTGGTTATATACGACTTGTTGAGGAGCGCTGTTCTCAGACACTATGAGCTTATATTTAATTTTGGAAACGGTTGTTGTTTCACAGTGCAAAAAATCACTTTTTTAATTATTTATTCAGAGCCAAATTAAACTGGGAAGTTTGTGAGACTGAATTTAATTCTCAAACTCCTGTGATATGAAATAAAGTTAATATAAAATGAACATATAATTTCTTGTTATGAACCACTTAACGTAGGTGTGTATAGATGCGGCTAACATTAATATAATAATTACGCATCGGTCGCTAATGTCCCGAATTGGGGTAATTTATTGGAAACCCAATAAATAATTTAAAGGCAAATAATCGGTAGTTCGAACCGGTGTTTCAAATTGATCAATAATAGAGGTAAAACTGAACCGTTGGGAAATATCACGGAAGCATTGCAGCTTGCAGGAACTGTATCAATTACTTGCCATTTATAAATACAATTTCTGACCAAAACTATGCAAAACCGTTAACCAATTTTAAATATAAAAACACTAATTCAATTAGGATTTAAATAGATAGTCAACATGAATGGAAAACATCAAACAATAAACAATAATTAACAATATGAAATTTCCTGCTCCAAAGCAAATCAAATGCAATCCAAATGCAGTACTATGGAAAATTTAACTGCTTGTTTTCCTGCGATTGAATTTTAGAAACTCGGAATTTTATTCAATAACTTCCCCATTGTTGAGGCATTCGGCTTTTCGATCGACAAAAATTGACTAAACTTGCGTTGAAAAGTAACAAATCGCGCATTTATGACCTCGATTTATATTTATGCTACAGCCAAGAATCCTCTAATAAGCAACGGGAGAGTTCTGAATGACACAATAAGATCCTTTTTGCCTTGTCCTGTAAATTATAAATAAGCCAAAAGCGCCAGGGGACTTTGAACATAGCCGCAAGTTGTAAATCATTGGTTTAAAACTTCAGGCCACGCCGACAACGATCCTGTCCACTCGCTTTTCTGAAATAATGTTGACATACATTGTACTTTTTTACTCGTTGTAAGTAATGAAGTCAGTTTTTCACAAAACATGCATTTCAAAGTAACTTCTTGAGTTTTACTGGAAAGGAGAGTAAAAAGGAATTGAAAGCCATTTCCGAGAGGGTATGAGATAGTTACAACTGCTTTGCAGCGAAACTGTTGTTGTTTACTGAAGTTTGAATAAAACTGTGGGCGTTTTTACGAGTATATTTTACCCGCTTAGCTCTTCTTTGTTTATATTCCATATGCAAGTTGGACAAATGGTTTGGATTAGCCCGAAAAATGGTTATTAGTGCTATAAATTCAGGAAAAAGTTCTAAAAATAATTTACTACTACCGATTAAGTTCTGAGCGCGAGAGATGTTGCAATTACCGCATTGCACATTCAACAATTCTTGCAATTTTGCAGGTTAAAATACTAGATTTGAAAGTTGTTCCGAACAGTAAAAATATCACTCTCTGATTACAACTTCGCAAATATACGCTGTAAAATTAATATTCTTTAGGCAGATCGCTGCAAAGCGCTTAGGATTTTATTGAAGAAAAGAATTCCTTAGTTCGCGGAAAACATTCGGGAAAATAAAGTTATAAACGCGCCCCAAATATAGAATTCAACTGGCGTTAGCACGGTTTTGATCTATGAGTCGTATTTTTGCCAGAAAATAACTAGTTCTTTAAAGCCGCTACTTTAATTTTCTTTGTTGCCCTCGAGAGATCTTTAACCTTTGATGACTAGCTTCCAATATCCGCAATCTGGCAACCGTTACTTCCATAGAATTTTTTAGTTTCCATTTTATCAACTTTTTTATTGCGCTCTTTATCTCCAGCTCAATTCTCATTTGTCAATAGCCTAGTCAATGTTAATATAAAATGGGCAAAAAATATAGAAATTTTCCAGAAATAACAAGATGAAGCTGCAAAAATTTCAAAATTTAGGGGCTGATGAGTGTTTTCTGACTAAATTGTCGCATGTCGCAAGATACACACAAAAAACGTATAAAATGTAAAAAAAGATTGTTCCGGAATAAATAAATACTGGAAAAACACTACTACAATCACAAAATAAGAACAACTACACAAGAGCTGTAATTAAATGTCCAAAATTAAAAGAATATTTGCAAAATTGTAGTAAATCATTTCGCTAAAAAGGTCGCGCTAAAAGGGGAAACCGTCAAGTTTCAACAGCTCACTCAGATATTAATGAGATGAATATTGAAGTTTAGATGCCCGGCGAGAGTATTCTAATATCCGTAAACTCCAACAAATTTTTCTATTAAAGTTCCTGAAACTTTTTAATCAAAGAGAAAATGGGTGCGGACTTGATACACTGAAAAATGTAATTAGGCAACAAATTTACTCGCTTCTACGCTTAGATGCAAATCGGCAAAACCGATTTAAATAAAATGTTATCTGAATTGAAACTTTCCTTAGTTGCAATGCAATTTGAAAACTTTTAATGGCTAACTAATGAGTGCTTACTCGTTCTAGGAAATACTTTTATGAAAGCTTGTCAGAACTAGTGGCACGATTAAATAAAAATGCTTAGTGGTCAAGAAGTGAATTTGTTCAAGTTGCAGACAACAATTTTCCATCGAGGAGAGCATGAAAACTTTGTTGTGGAGAAGCGATGCCACAGCAAATGCCATCAAAGAATATATGACAAGAACAAGGCAAACCCTTGAATTAGCGCATTGGATGAGAGTGACCCGAACAATCAGCTATTCGATATTGCGAGCTTCTTTCTCTCTTTGTATTACACGCACTGGACGAACTGCCATGTTCGTCTCAGACATAGTATATATTTTATATGATGATGTACATATATCAGTGTTGAGTTTAAACTTCCACAGTCATTTTTTTAGCACTAAAACTGTTAAAAACTCACCGATCTCGATCGCCATAACTGTAGCCTCGGGCATATGCACCATATCCGCTGCTTCCCGTTCTGTAACTATCAGGCCTTCCATATCCTCTGCTTGAATAGTTGTCGGTTCCTGAGCCTCGACTGTAGTAGTCCTCCTCTGGCTCGTACCTGCGAAAGCATTAAAAACGTCAATTACTAAAGAGCCAAAAAAATGTAATCGAAAATTAATAATTGGCAAAAATCAATTTACACACTATGAATCTGTCTAGAATCAGCAAACGCAAATTTAGAAAATTAAATATTTATACTATCACTAACAAATATTAATTATTTATATGTGTATTAATGCATGAATAAAATGAAGTTTTTAGGACGAATATGAATATACTGACTGCTAAACAAACAATCCAGCTCTATTTAGACTATCACTGGTAAACAGTTAATTAAAATCTGCAAGTGAATATTATTTAACAGCAATCCTTATTGCATACATATTTGAACATTTTGCGGCAAAATGTTCCATAATAGAAATGGTATTTTGTTACTTTTCCCAAACTCCAAATGTTGGATTATTAAAAAAATACCCGTTCAACACACAATTGCATCAGAAATCACATCATAAACTTTCATTGGAAAATAAATATGTGGCATCGATACAATACCTGTCCCTAAAGTAAGGGCTATAGTAGTAATCCCTCTCTCTGTAATCGTACCCTCTATTATCGTAGCCCAGTCCTCTGTCATAATAGCGATCTCGAGGTTCGTATCTATCATAGGATGAAGAGTATCTGTTTCTGCCTCTGGTATCTCTGAAACATCCACAAAATCTTTGTTGGCAAACTATTATGGGCGATAATAACAATTCGAAACACCGAATTATAGCTTGGTATGATAATTGCCAAGTTACCCAATTAACAGATGAAAAGAAGCGTTAATTTGAGGAAACTCGATAATATCTTTGTAATGCTTGAACGCCATGGTTAACATACATATTTTACCTAGCGTGTATTGCAACAACGAGGGAACACGTAAATGCATTGTTTTCAAAATATTTTTTTTGGGTACTTTGCCTCAAAATACTTGTCTTAAAAAAAGGATTGTCTCACTGTTTTCGCTTACAGATTAGTAAGGAGTGCTCTTGTTTAACAATAGAGAAAATGAATTAATTCTTCAGATTGAAAGAGAAAAATGCCAATCCGTAATTCAATGGCCATGAAATAAAATAAAATTATATAAATAAAACCGATAAAATCTGAAGCAGACCAAAGACACATACTCCTAAATTAAATTTCTTCAATATTCTAAATTAATTGTGTCTCTCTTTCTATTTTAAACAATAAGGCTCAGGTCAAAGTATAAATAACTAAATTTGTAAAAACACGAAAACTCAGACCGATTTTGAGAAGATTTGAATTAATTTAGCCTCGTTATACACTTTATTAATATACTCTTATTTACGTATCTGTTGAGAAAAATATCAGATTTGCAATCGCAACATCAACGTAATTTTTGTAAATTAATTTCTTTTCCAACTGGAATTTTTCTCTTACAGCTTGCGTGTCGTAGAATATCCTCTAGGTCTTGATTACCATTTCGAAAATAATTCGTTCTTTATTGACAAAACAGTAATCTTTATCAATCAGTAAGAGAAAACGAGAAACATTCTGCAATTTTAAAAGACAGAAAGTTCCATGCAAACTTACCGAAAAAAAAATTGAAAACATGAGTCCTCTTCAGCCATACAAAACTTATCTAAATGTATAGTGTTGAATAAATGTACTAAAAGAGCTGATAAACAGATATAAAATAAAACAAGGGAACAAGAAAGATCAGAAGCAAACAAAATTATTGAGAAAAAGCTAGGCGAATATTTCTTTGATTTCAGTCTGCACTCCAAAATCGGAACAAAAAATTGCAGAAAACGATCCTTAAGCTTGATCGCAATATATTAGGAAACAGAATTTACCTATATGAGTCTCCTCGGTCGTAGTCATCGTAATATCTATCTTTCTCGTATCTGTCGTACGGATCAACGCGATCGTATCTGGTCCGGCTATAAGAGGAATATGGCTCCCTTGAGTAATAACCGTCATATCTGCAACAAGAATATCGATCGAATCGACATTGCATCATAATGTTCCTTATTCTAACAATTCGGCATAAGAACGCGTTGATATCAATTAACAGGTTTTACAAATTTAGTTCGATTCAGTGTTTATCCATAATTCATGTTGAATGAAACAAACTCACTTTTTAGTCTAATATATCGTACATTTTCTATTAAAAAATATTTGGATTTACGAAACACACAAATCACTTACCTATCTCTCATTTGACCATATCCAGATGACCTCAGGTAGGTATTGTCGCACGTGGAACATCGTTTTCCCAAATTCGGATTGTTCTTCCGACTCTGATCATCATCTCCATTATCTTCCGGCTTTAGAGACCTATCGGCTCTAGGGTCGTCTTTAAAACCACTTCGGAGTTTATCAGACGAAAAAAATTTGCTATCTCGAGCTTTCCGAATCACCGTACTACTTTCATTGTCTTTAACCTTTGCACTGTTCTCTGATGGAAAGTCTTCCAGCTGATGAAGAGTGTCCCTTGGAACACGAATAATTGCTAAGAGGTCGGTTTCAGGCGAAGCAGGATTCTGCTTGGGTTTGAAGAGTTGTTGGACTGTTAAACTAGTTGTTGGTGGCAGTAAGTGGAAAACAATGAGAGTGGTGGCAACGATGACCAGTGGAGCCTAAAAGCAAGATAAAGTGTGTTATTAATTAGCTCAGTATTTATAGATTTAGATAGCTAGAAAAATAAGACTTGCTTAAGCTTATCCAAAAGACCTCACAAGTGTTCGATCTGCTATTTCAGTTCTACTGATTAATTGTTTCATATTGATGTTGATTAGATTTACAGAAAACGCACCATTCTGAGGTCTTCATCAGTTTAGCAGAAAAAATCAAAAACTCAATTTACAAGTAAGAAATCCTTAGATTTCCAAACACCTGACTAACATTTGGAATTCTTGAAAATTCTATTCAAATAAAAGGCTTTCTATATACATTTTTGCTTATAAAAAAACGAAATCCAAGCTAACTAACATTGCAATTTTGGTGTTAGCATTTTCATTGATAAACGTATTTGTGAATTTATATAATAAGTGGATTAGGTCAATTGCACATTTTCGAATAAAACTTTCTTATTCTACAGGGTGGCCCATTCTATGATGCGTTTTTAGAGGTAAATTTTCATTAAGCCAATAACTTCAAATTCCGTGCTATGATGGGAATCGCTGACCATTAAAAAAGTATTCCATTCTTGAACTTAGGAAATGTATTAGACAATTTTGCATCAAAAGCTAAATACCCATTTTGAATCATTCCTATTCAGTTCAGATTCTCAAACCTTCAAGCTTCTTATATTTTTGACACAAAAAATTAACTACACTGCGTGTAGAAAATTGCATATTTTACTCATATTGCTACTTATATCTTGTAGATCTGAAAACGTTTCATGTTAAATTTCGTATCAACTTTAAAAATGTGTAAAACTCGCTATAAATCATTTATAAAATTGCTCAGAATACCTCGTTATCGAAAGTAAATACATTCATACATGCAATCATTGGAAATATCAATACACATGTTGTTATACGAAATATTAGGTTTGATCATATATCTATCAGTGAATTTTCAATTTCGACATTCCAAAATTGCTGCCACAAATACTCAAACGTACCAACGACTTTAATTCAGAAAGTATTATAAAACTCATTTCGATTTTGAACAATTAAAGCGAACCAAATCGAGCATATTTTAATTTAGAATTAATACACTTTAGTTTAATAATACATTTAAAAATATTTGTATAACGTCGAAAATATAAAATTTGATTAACCACAATCGAATGAATTGTATTTTAATTAGCCAGCCCCAGTGCGTTCCAACCGGGAACATGGGCATGTCAAAGATAATTATTTTATTATCTAATAATAAACTAAAATATAAATTTGTAACTCACCCTATAAATAATCATGTTGAGATCAGTAAAAAATACACAAGAGCATAAAATAAAAAATGACAAAACCCGACAGCACCGAATCAACTGCGGAAACCCATAAGCAGTACTTGTGTAAAACAAATCCAACCCCGTTGAAGTTAAAATAGGAAATGGCTATGCTGAAGAGTTCAAAACTCGATGACTCCAAAGCGGCTGTAATGATGAAAACCAATTCAGAATCGGTCATTCCGTTTATTGTTTAAGAATCATAAGCGTGTCTCCTCTTTTGCGGGTCAGAATTCAGCCTTGACGACCATGTCCATAGGTGGAACACGCAGAGATTGATCAATAAAAAATTGTGTAAAATACTTTCATTTCTGCCCAAAATTGCCATGTTGAGGATTGATTGAATAAGTCAGATAAGATTCAATGATTCGGGGTGACGTGAGTCATGGGAACAGTTTCATAATGGGCTTTGCCCAAAAAAATCGCTCTAAATATATGATTTTCTATTTATATCAAACAGAGTAGTTCGAGATACTTTCACTTATTTAGCTATTGAAATGACAAACTTTTCACCAACTCAACCTTAAATTCGTGCCATCAGAAGAAAACACAATCAAATAGAAAATCAATTTTCACTGAACAACGTGTGGTGATGTTTTGTTTTTCAGAGTTCCATTCTCAACAAAATCTTATGAAAAGCTCCTCCGTGTTGTTATTTACTAACGTAAAGAATACTATTTGCATTCGAAAACGGGTATAGGAAATAAGCAGGCTAAGGAACAGGCTATGTAAATTGTTCAACGGACTTATTTCGATTTTAAATACATTTTTTTAGTTGCTATTAAACCTTAAAACCCTGTAACAAAATGACAATTTTCTTAAGTCCTTTATCTTTTTTTGAATATTTATTTAACTGAATTAGATCATAACTAAATAAAATGCTTTCTTGAAAGATGCAAAAAAATATTATTAAAAAGAGTACTGACAGAAAAACGACGAAATAGCTGGTAAAAGAAAATGTAACTCAATACCAATCGCAAATGTAAAAAAATATTAAGCCAGCATAGCAATTAACACTTTTATGGCAGTAACTCTCATACGAAAACACACTCACGCTATTTACCAATGATGAGTTATTTTCTTATTACATTAAAATATTATTATTTGATTTTATTTCATTACGAATTAACTTATTAAGAAATAAACAGCAAATTAATACACACGAGACAATAAAAAGTGTGTATAAGACGTTGCTAAAACAATTCCGTAAATTTATATACTTTATATATACTTTTTAACAGAAAAATCGATTAGACGATTTCAATAAAATTCACTGACAGGCATTCACAGCAGTAAGTTCAAAATTTAACAAAACTTCTCCAGTAATACCCATTAAGTCCCAAGTTAAGAACTAGTTATGAATTTTCTAAGAGAGAGAGAAAATTACTTTTTACAATTTTAGATAATATGAGGCATATGAAGCCTAGGCAAATTACCTTGCTTATACAATGCAGATCGCAACAAATTGCCAAATAGTAATAATAAAGGAACAAAAAATATTTTCAATTAAACTTTGCTGGCTTATAATAAAAAATTAAAATAGGAAAACGCAGAATTTTAGTAGGAAATCTTCTCTCAATTAATTTAAAAGTTACAGCTACATACATTATTATTTTTATATTTTAGATTTCCTACGCCAATGTAGAGCATAAAGGAAAAACTGAACGCAAGGACTCATATTAAATACTGCACGGTCAAAAGCTTATAAAATGTACTATAATTGCTGTAATTTCACCATTAAAAAAGTTTTCCGGTAAAATTTGAACGTGTCTATGTCAACTATTTGGGTTGAAAGTGAATTCATTTTTGATACATTGATTTATTAATAAAAATTTGCAAACGAAAATTACGGAAAGATAAAGAATTGAAAAAATATTTATTTATACTTAAATCTGTGTTAATTAGTCTCCTATTGCAGCTCCTCAATTCGAGAACTAGGAGATTTTCTAGAAATTAGTTTTTCAGTAATTTCGAATCATTTCTTGCAAATTGTACTTGTGTCAATTAATTTTCCAATTATATTTGCATTGAGCAACTCAGATCTGTTGTTAGTTTGTGTTTTCCATGTGAGGTTTTTATTGCTTAGTAATATCACGTTTCTTGTTCCTTTCAAATAAATTTTTCTTTGCAATGGGTTTATTTCCATTCCGTAGATTTTGTGCAAATTTATCTGCACAAATAGTACTGGATAGTAAAAAGTTTTTTCATGAGACAATAAGAATAAGAAATATCGTAAGACTGCTCAACTTTGTAAATAGTTCGAGTGGTAAACGTAAAAATTAACCTGGAGACTTTATATTATAAATATAAACATCTTTATTAGCCTCTAAAAACTTATAAATTTTTTTATTTTTTGTCAAAATTTAAAGATTTTTCTCTAAATCGGAAAGCCGCACTGAGTTATGTTTGAAGAGCAGCGGTTTGAGACAACAAATTAACATAATAAGTTATAAAATATAGAACAATTTATTATTTATTTAGATAAACTCCATATTAGAAACATGTGTCCCTTCAGAAGTTCGGTTACCTACTACTTTTAAAAGGTCTCTGGAAGTGATTGAATATTTGGGGGAAATGAAGTAGTGGAACAGGTACACAATAACAAAAACATAGCACGATTAAAAAAAAACCAATAATTGAAAAATCGGAGCTTCAGTCACAAACGTTGCCTGTTGAATAAATTTCAATCGAAAGTATTAATTGAATGGAAATTCAAATGAAATATTCAAGAAGAAAAACAGAATTGACAATACAAACGGAAATTACATTTCTCAAGTTTCCTGATCACGCATTTATTCCGAAGTGAAAACGCAGTGGTTATTATAATTATGCAGTATTGTGGATAGATTCTAGAGCGCAAAAAGTGTGTGTATTTCAGCAAATTGAAATTAATATTTCACGATATGCCATGCAACGCATCACTCGGTGCTGCTGCACTTTCATTTCAAAGCCAACCCTAATTAGAGTAAATTCAGCATTTTGCATTCGACTCTTATTCATCTCCTGCTAAAAGCCATCAGCCCGACCCGAATTATTCAAACAGCCGATTAGCGATTGAAGGACGAAATTGAAATAAGCACTCCTGTCTATTTCAGGATAGGTATTTTAGTCTCTGTCATAAGCAGAAGATTTAACAAAGGACCGATCATAATTCACGGCTTGATAAAGTAATCCTTTTGGACAAGATTAAACTACCCATAACTTTAATCAGTTATTCAAAGTGGAAGGTCGCCAGCCGCACAGACATTTTGCCCAAAGTTAGACAGTGGCTGATTCGTCCCTGGTGTATCCCGAGCAATTTGTTAATTTGACGGTTGATGTTATAAAACTGGAATTCCGGAAACTAGATTATAGTGGGAATGGAGATGAGGTCGTTTTAGAAATTATTCCCACTCAACTGCCAACAAAAGAAAATGGAAGATAATAATCCTGAATTGCAGGGTTGCTGTTATGCGGTAATTGGACCAATTACTGCTATCGCTTCAAATATGGTTTGGAATTTAGTGCAAATTTCTTTATACAAGTACAATAATTATTTATCATTATAATACATAATTATTTTGCAAATGGATTTCCATGAGGCGTTTTCCATTTGTCTTTCAATGAAATAATCCGGTCTGGGATATGAATTTGTAAGCGGTGAGATTCTTAGAGAACAACAGTGGTCCAGCAGACGTAGTTCGCCAGAAAGCCTGACTTTTGCAACAAAAATAAAATGACTAATAATAGAATACAAAGTTTTGATGTTAATTTCTAATTCAGAAGGAAACAACAATTATTACTGCTTTTCAAAATGGTTAAAGAATACATGTCTATAATTTTGAAACATAGAGGCATTTAAAGGTGACTGTAAAACGGAAAAAAGCATGAAGACTTTTATTACAACAGTGGAAAATGAAAAAGTTTGAAATATCCTGTTGGATATACCAATGTGTTCATCTGGACTTTTAATCCATCTGCGATATTTTTGCTTCTACATTTTCATTTTTCCAAAGTATCATTATAAAAATTGCTGCTATGTTTCTACATTCTAGACGATTCAGTTTACACCTAACGAGAAAAATGTAGATCTCAACACATTCCATCGGCACCGCTCTTATGAGTGATGCCGTTCTGAATTTTATCTGTATTAAAACCCAATATTCTTAACATTTTGACAAACTGCGATCATCTTCAAGAATCTCCGAGTTCAATTTTAGGGTTTTCGTATGAAAATTACAAAAATATTTTATATAAATCTTGATGATTTGATTAAACTCTTTGAAAATGGTTCGTACGATTGGTCCTTTCGTACAATTTTGGATGCTTATGCTATAAGACTCGTTGTCTGTAAGATAATTAAAATCGGCGCATGGCGTCATTTTTCCTAAAAATATCTTCAGGATGCTGTAGCAAAATAATCCTGTTGCCAGTCTTGCTCTTGGAAAAAAGAGGCAACAGAAATTGTAGTAAGTTAATCAACATTTCTACACTTTCCAGTTTGCTGTACTTCTGTACTTTGAGGTCTATTAGGCAATTAAAATGTACGCTTCAATAATTTTGAATTATAACATACATTTCTGTGATTTTGAAAGTTCGCTGTTTTACCGTTAATCATAAAATCATTGATGATGAACAAAATCATACGAAAATCACATATCAAACAGCCTGAGATTATTTTATTGTTGTGTATTAGTTATCATTACCTTCTAGTTTTACATATAAATATATAAATACTTTTTATTTCCTACAGAAAAAGGTATCGACCCAATCGGTCTTTCTGCCCCTTCGAGTTTTATTATTATTGTGATTATTGAATTAATATTATTTAATTATACGATTTATTCAAAAGCAAGACCTGCAAGACTCTTCATGCAAAACCAAGACCTACAATTCCTGGTTTGGGACTTGCTTTGCTGATCACTACTGCTGACTGTTCAGCTCTTTCGAATAATTCTGGAGATAAAAATTAAACTGAAAATTGAGACCGTTATGTAAATATGAAATATTTCAAAGAAATTTCGTTGTATCTATGAAAATCCAATTGTGCAAGTTAATTTGTTTTCAGCTTTTTAGATGTTGAGGTTTTCTGGTAACAACATTTCATTATTTAGATGAAACTCACCCGTTTGTAGCAACGGTTGCGAAAGCCTAACTTTTTTGAATACATGATACTGTATAACAATTTTCTAAGAGGAAA